AATTGCTTGAACCTGGGAGGCAGAGGTTGTAGTGAGCGGAGATTGCACCACTGCACTCCAGCCTGGGTGACTGAGCTATACTGTGTCTCAAAAATGAACAAAGAAAGAAAACAGAGGACATCTGGAGACTGCACTTTTTGTTGTTTCTTAGGTAAGTTGTTTTTTCAGTGCTATCAGTAACATAGTAAATCAATACTATGTTACACTTTTCTAGTGCTGTATAACACATATTTTGTTCAGATTTAGAAGGAAGCTTACAGTATATGAATCCCTTGCTACCCGATTCATTTCTAGTGTTGATTTCCAAAAGTCTAGAATAGGATGGCAGTATTTCAAGTTATTGAACACTTCAATAATTTGCTTGGATTTTTTTTTTTACCACCTTAAAACTCGATAGTAAACAGACATTACTGATTTGGGAGTTATAAAGGATTTATGACAGCAAAAGTTAAAAATTTGTTTTCTTTCTAATATTTTGATTCTGTTGTCACTTTGTTAGAAAAAAAATGATAATTTTCTGTCCTGTGTATGAATATGGGCCATAATAATATAATTGGGTATGCGCTATCAAATTTATATTCTCCAAGAAAAAGCCACATCAAATAAAAGAAACTGCTTAAGCCCTTTTTATCTTTATTTTGCAATATTAGAGGAAATTTTAAGCCATGTTGCTTAGTGTTCTTTAAGTTTTATTTTTCTAAATTTTAATGGTGTCTTACACTTATGATGTATTTAACTTACATGAAAATGTAGATGTTTATCGAATTTTGGTTTTGGTAAGGCTTTTCTAAATATAATTTAAGTAATAAAGAATTATTATAAGAGTAACAACTAGGATTAGAATTCTTTTTAGATTTCTCTCTGTTCTGTTTGCTGATTACATCACTTAGAGTGACATTGTATTTTGAAAATACATATCAAATGATAGCATAACAGGGTAGTTGTTGCTAAATATTTTGTGTAAATCTTAAAAAAATAGACTAATTTTTCTGATAATCTCTTTGTGTAACTGGTAAATTCAAGGGTTTTGTCTCACTTCAGGAAAGGCTTTTGATTAAAAGATGAAATTGAAGAATAATGTCACTGACATTTATCAAATGCTCACAATGTGCCAGTCTCTGGGTTAGGTGTTCCAAATACCAACGCTCAAAATAACATTGCAAAGGATTATTCTCATTTTGCAAATGAGAAAATAGTGGCCCAGAAAATGAAGTCACTTGCCCAAGCTGTGTTACAAACCTAATAAGTGGGAATAAATAGATTTTGAACCATGATTTTTTTTCCCCAGACATTGGTAGTAATAGGTTTCCAAGTCAGTTTTGTTGGTGTTATTTCTATTTTTGTTTTTATTTTTCATTGTTGTTGCTTATGCCCAAAAATGAAATAAATGATATACATTTTCATGTATATTGTTTGAAACAAAAGCTCTGGAAATATACTAACAGAAATGTAACTTATTGATAAGCTGAATTCCGTTTTACTTTTTACCAATAGCATTAGACAAGAAAATATTTCACTAAAGTAATTAAGGCACAAAATTATTAAGATTCAACAACAACAACAAGCTTTAGATGATAAGTGAAGCATTTTTTCCTTTGTTATTACTTTAATATATCCCATTTGGAGCACTGGAGAGCCTAAAATACAAATTAACGTAATGATTAGCTGCATAGCATCTAGAAACTAAATTGCTCAGGTTCGAATCTCAGCTCTTGTTTCTTAGTTGCTCATGTTAGGCATGTAGCTTAAACTTTCTATGCCTCAGTTCCCTCATTTAAAAAATGGGGACCAAAATGGAATTTCTGTCATAGTTTTTTTTGAGTTAGTACTAAATACCTTTATACAGTTTGTATATGTAAAACCATTTTCATGGTGCCTAACACAATAAGGAATAGCTATTAATTTTTCAGGTCAATTTAACTGAAATGATTATGTATACCGTCTCAATGAATAGAGATTTGTTTTATATTGGATGGAATATAAGAGATTAAATGATATAAAAATATTGTTATATTTGATTTTATTTTAAAGAATAACTCAAAATATTATAACCACATTAAGCTATATTTTGTAGTTTTAATTATATATTAAAACTATATTCTATAGAATGGGCCTTGTTTTATGGAAGTCAAGAAAGTGAATGCTACCTGAAGGAGCTCCACCAGAGAAGCCAAACGTCTAGACAAGAGACGTGTCCATCCTGGTCTCCTCTGTGCAGAAGGGTCTATACTCAGGAGTAGGGTGGGGTGGGGTGAGGTGTAAAGGATAGACTCAGTTCCTGCCTTTCACTTTCAAGAGATATAAAGGAATTAAATTCAGAAAAGAGCCTTGAATCCAGGTCTTTAGAGCAAAAGAGCCTGGAGGAACGTGTCTGGAATTGTGTTCAAATTGTTGGACCACCATGGGCAGGAGAGACAAGGCTGGCTTTGCATGTTCTCAAAGGGGCAGAAGTGACCAGAGGACCGTTTTCACTCACCCTCAAGCCAGGAGGTCGGAGACCCGAATGGGGTGGTCCGTGGAGCCAGTGAGTCCGTGGAGCCTCCGAGAGCAGGCCCCAGAAATGGAAAAAACAGGGAGGCGATAGTCAGTCGATGGCCTTTGCGGTTCTTGCTCACTCTGTGATGTGTAAACTTGGCCAAACGGGTGGCCACTTCTCAGGAATCCCACTTAACGGATGAGGTGAACAATATCACCTCCCTCGTTAGTTATATACTTGTTTATTCGAAGGAAATAGGTCGGGTGGGGGTTGGTAAGCCAGCTGAGTTTCAGCCTCTAAAGCACTAACTTCGTGGGGCCTGGGGGTGGGCAGCCTGCGCAAAGCCTCGAAATCTTCGGGAGCAGAGGCGCATTGAGATAAACTCTGGCTTGGCCTTTGCAGCATGAGGGGGTGGGGTTACTGGAAGGGCTTCCCCAGAAGGTGGTTGGCCCTGGGGAAATCACGGGGTGGGACGAGTCCATCATTGGTCCAGCCTGCAAGGTGAGGGCGGGCTGCGAGCGCGGCGGAGCCCATAGAGCGCAGCCCGCGCGCGGGCAGGAGAAGCCGGAGTCACGAGCCGGTACGCGGCTGAGGCGAGCTCGCCCCAGGGGGTCGAGGGCCTCGCGGGGCGTTGGCACGGGGTCGTGCGCCTACGTGGTTCGCTTAGATACGGCGAGGACGCTTCTGCGCGCAGGGAGTTCGACGCGAGCCATTCTACAGCTGGCCTCGCGAGCGACAGTCGCACGGGGCGACGTGGACTGTTGACGGTTACGACTGAGGCGGCTGGAGGGAGGCGAAGACGGCGGCGTCGGGGTCGGCGGCGGCGGCAGCGGCAGCGGCGTCGGCGGCAGCGGTCCGGTTATCTCAGTGGATCCCAGAGTAGAGACGTAACGGTTCCTGAGGAAACGGTCCCCGGTAAATGCCCTCCACTCGGTCCTCAGAGAAGGTAGCCACGTTCCGCTAGGTCGCGGCCAGCTGGCCGCCCGGGCCTGCCCGAGCAGTGGGTGCCTCTCGGACAGAGCCACCCTGAGCCCTCGGTGGGGACTGGGGAGGGGCTGCGCCAGAGCCCTGAGGTGGCCCGCTTGTCCCCGCAGAGTCGCGTTTTCCAGAGTAACGCCTACGCTCTTCCAGGCCCACCTGCTCTCACCTCAGACCCCGCTGCGCTTCCTCGGGGCACACCAGGCCGCTGTTCCCGCCAAGGTCGAGGCATTCCTCAGGGGCACGTTGGCAGTGACATCCCGCCAATGTTAACTGAAGGTGCCCTCACCTGCCAAGGGCCCGTCATTAGCAGGGCTCTGCCGCCGCCGCCCCCTTGATGACCCTCGTCCTTGGCTTTAGGAACTTCTCAAGAGACTGAGTCTCCGCTTGAGGTTTCCAGCGCGGGTGGATGAAGACGGTTTGAATCTGACTGGGATCTGCTCACCCACAAGGCTGTCGGGATGCGATGTCTTGTTGGGTTGGTGGGCAGAGACGTGAGGAAAGAATACAGTTGGGGAGGCCCATGCTGTCGGACATGCCTGCCATACCCGCACTCGAGGACATCTTAGTCGTGGTCCTTGGGACCCGTGCCGCCTTCTGGTCTCTTGCTTTTCGTGTTTTTATTTAAAGTCGACCATTACAGGAGGGAGAATTTTATTGCTGCTGAGGGGTAATCAACGTGTATTGGAACGCTGGGTGTCAGCATGGGAAACTGGTTACCCCTTGGGCCTGTTCTTGGTGTCTTTTCTAGACTGAGAATGTGATCTCAAACGTCATACCCATTTTGCCCCGTTTTCCTGCCTACCTCTGATCTAACTTTGGAATCTCAGGCTTTTGACAGCGTGAACTTGTGGAGTGCAATTGGTATGCCTCACTCTTCATGCTGAGAAAACCGTTCTTTGGAAAAATATGTTGGGGAGGGACTTCACAAGAGACCCAAGTTGCCCTGTAACTCTCTCAAATTCTGGTTGTTTGCCTTTTGAAGCATGTGACATTCCAGCACTCACATTTTTCTGTGCTCGGTTTTTTTGGGGGAGGGGAGAGAGGCCAGGGGAGGCCTTCAAAGCATGTAGTAACCTGAAGCATGGGGTAACTTCCATGAAGGCATTTTTTGCTTCAACCTTGTGGAGTACGGAGGAAAGTGACTAGTGGAATACGCCTGCTGGCAAAGGCGCCCAGAGGATCCCCACTGCCACACGCATTAGGATGGATAGGGCTGATGTGAGGTGGAGTAACACTAGGTGGGAGGGGGACATGGCCTGCAGAGTCCATGTTGGCTTCTGTAGTGGCTTTCCATTTAGTCCCAGTCAAAGATTATACCTGCAGTGCGGGCTGTTTGTCCAAGTTCCCATCATGCACTGACATGAAGAGAGTGGCCTTTGCTGGCTTTATGTGTCATCTCCACCCTCAGTAAGAAAGGTGAGGTATAGAGGTTAGAGAACATGGAGGTGATAATGGTGGTGGTGGTGGTGATGTGTGTGTGTGTGAGAGAGACTTATATTTTAAACAGTGAAGCAGCTCTCTGCCACTGAGACTGGCTACAGGTTTATCTTCCCAGCATGCATTCCTGCCTTTGCTAGAGATAGACTTTTGCTGAGCTATTTCTGAGCCAGGGCACTGGTAGTTGTCCAACTCTCTGATTCAGTGTACACTTGGGTCCGTGGGTTCTATGTTATATCCAACATGCTCCTAGTACTTTAAGAAGCTATAAAACCAAGCTGTGGGCTGAGGCGGGCTAATGCCTGGGGCACAGTCAGAGCAAATGTGGACATCGTGGAATCCAGCAGCCCTTTGTTCCGAAGAGACAACCTAAGGGCTGGAACACTTCCAGAAGAGGAGGAAGGTCAGTGAAAATTGAGTAGTCATAATAATGAGCATTTACTGAACACTTACTGGAAGTTAAGTACTTTACTTTCATCATTTTATTTTATTTTATTATTTATTTTTATTTATTTATTTTCTTTGAGATGGAGTTTTGCTCTTGTTGCCCAGGCTGGAGTGCAGTGTCACAGTCTCAGCCCACTGCAGCCTCTGTCTCCCAGGTTCAAGTGATTCTCCTGCCTCAGCCTCCTGAGTAGCTGGGATTGCAGGTGCACGCCACTATACCTGGATAATTTTTGTATTTTTGGTAGAGGCAGAGTTTCACCATGTTGACCAGGGTGGTCTCCAACTCCTAACCTCAAGTGATCCTCCCGCCTCAGCCTCCCAAAGTGTCGCGATTACAGGCGTGAGCCACTGTGCCCATTTATTTTATTTTAGAGACGGAGTTTTGCTCTTGTTGCCCAGGCTGGAGTGCAGTAGCACGATCTTGGCTCACTGCAGCTTCCATCTCCCAGGTTCAAGTGATCCTCCTGCCTCAGCCTCCTGAGTAGCTGGGATTACAGGTACACGTCACAAGAGCCAGCTACTTTTTGTATTTTTGGTAGAGACAGAGTTTCACCATGTTGGCTAGGGTGGGCTCGAATTCCTGACCTCAAATGATCCACCTGCCTCAGCCTTCTAAACTGCTGGGATTACAGGGGTGAGCCACTGCGCCTGGGCACATCATTTTATTTAATCCCACCTGTAAGATAGGCACTATTTTTATCTTCTGAAGCTCAAAGCGGTTAGGTAGCATGCCCAAGGATCTTGCCAAGCTAGTCCGTGGCAGAGGCAGGATTTGAACCCAGATCTGCTTGACACCAGACCTTGAACTCAAAAGAATTTTGGTTTTTACTGTCTCAGAGAATGTTGCATAAAAGAGGTGAAATGGAGCAAGGTTTTGAAGGGTGAGTAGGCTTTAGATGAGGAGAGGAAATATTTGGATTAGGGCATCAACATCTTTAAAGGAACTCAAGGAAGACTGGCCCAACTAGAATGGGGGATGGACACAGGGGTGTGATGAAAATAGAGCTGGCAAAGTAGGGTAGGGTCATGTTTTGGAGAGCCTTGAAGGGAAACTGATCTGAAGCAGTAAGAAATGGGGTATGTTGAGAATTTTTGAGCAAGGAAGAGCATGACAAAGGCAGTATGAGTCACCTGGTGTGACCAGCATGTGCCTCTCTCATCCTTTCTTGAGAACCTTCCCCAATAATAGCACATTTAGCTGTTGTTTTTGAATTTCCTGAACCCCTAGTGAGTAGCAGACACATGCAACCAAATAGACTCCTGGGTTCATGATGCAGGAGCATGCTAGGGGCCCTGGGTCAAACTCAGCCCTAGGTGGGTGTGCTGCAGCCTGCATAGGATTTGAAAAAGCAATTGAATTAGTGGTCGATATTGAAAAAGCAAAAGAGCTCAATAAAAATCAGGATTTCCAGCTTATCTTGAAATGCTGGAGGGCCTGGTCTGCATTTCACCTGCAGAGGGCAAAGCTGTGCAGAACTGACTTCTTTAGCAGGGGGCGGGGTGCTCTGCTTTCCCACGGTCCTACCCAGTCCCCGGCCCCCGTGCCCAGGACCTACCTGATCCTGTAGGCCCTAGGCCCCTGCTCAAGGGAAACAAGCCCCCACCTGTAAAGTTTCACATTCAGGATTAGCTTCTTGTCTTATTGTGTAATTAGGAAATTGTCAGACATGCAGTGGAACTGTCTCTGTGAAGGAGGAATAATCTTAACACATAGGAATGCTGCGGAGCTCATTGTGGAACATTATCCATAGATGGTAGCTTTCCTTGGGCCTGGGGCTGAAAGTCTGCTCTGCTAGGGCCCCAAAGAGACATTCCGGTGGGCCTCGCTGTTCTTCATCCTTTACTTGCAGTCAGGTATTCTATTTGCTGAATAGTTGAGTTGTATAGGATTTGGGTCAAAATGATTTTAAAAAGTCGGGGAAAATAAAAACAACTCAGAAGTGACTACCTAAAAGATAGCATGTTAAAAATATTAATCTGGGCTGGGCGCAGTGGCTCACGCCTGTAATCCCAGCACTTTTGGAGGCTGAGGTGGGCAGATCACAAGGTCAGGAGTTCAAGACCAGCCTGACCAACATGGTGAAACCCCATCTCTACTAAAAATACAAAAAATTAGCTGGGCGTGGTGATGCACACCTGTAATCCCAGCCACTCACGAGGCTGAGGCAGGAGAATCGCTTGAACCTGGGAGGCGGAGGTTGC